CCATATCTGTTCTCCAGGCAAGCCACTGCACATGGGAATGCTGACTTTGCTGCCAGAAGATACAAACTTCCACTTTCCTGAGAGTCCATGCCCCCTTCCTTTTCTAGCATCTCCTCTAGTTTGCTATGTTAGTCTGAAATCAGGGAGAAGTCAAGGTAGAGGTGGTCTTGATGCGAGCTGTGGCTCATGAAAATGTATGCATCTCTTATTTAGTCTGTGAGGTTCATCTCTGTCTTGCCACTACTCCTTCAAATCCGTGAAGGCATGTGTCAGACTCCTGGGTTACATAGCCTTATGCAGGTGTCGTGAAACATGCCAGCATCTGTTGCCTGTTTTTAAACTATTCTACAACATTTCAGATATAGGAGCAGTTATGTGGAGCTGCATTCACACATTTATAAAAGACTGTTCCTCAGTAGAGTTCTCCAGCTCAAAGGCTAATTTTGGTAGGATTGTCTTGCAGCCATTATTAGGCAGGACTCTGTGCCCATCTCCAAACAATTACACAGCCGTTAAGTCACCTAGATGAATCTGTGTTGACAGTCTCCCAGTAGGATGATACTTTATAGGAGATTCTGGTACTTCTAGGAATGTCTACACAGATTGCATGGCCACCTTCTCTCATAGCTAGTCTTTTTCTGACGATAAGATTTGGCTGGATCTGTTTTCTGTGTCTGAAGGTTTGTCTAGGTATGTAGGGCATAGGCCTAGCAAAGGTGCAGATCTATTCTGCCTTCTGCCTGACTTCAGACTAACCTGGCTAAGTACCTCTCTCCACAGACAGCCCTTTTGCATACTGCTATTCAATAAAAATCTCACACACCTACCATGTATTAAGAGTGGAATCTTTATTTGTCAATCACGGTTTCCTTTGTGTTGGTAGAAAATAGCATTTGTGTGACTACTTATTTCTCAAGAGCAAGGCCACACATAGCTTGGTCATGTTGCCCGCAGCATGCAAATCCTTGCACTGTGGCTGATAGCCATTCACCAGTCAGTGTGGTGATTAATGTAAATGCCTCTTCAGTTAAGATTATATATGCTGATCTGCTCCGGCTACTGTTCTCAAAACTCTTGAGTGATCTCACAACTATGGTTCAGGTTCAAAATGGTATTAGGTGCCTAAACTCCACCTGAGTTAGTTACTTAAAATACCTTTTTGGATATGGTGCCATGTGTCCTCTTATGCACAATTCTAGAGGCAGGTGCAGACCTTGAAAGTAGCTGAAGTAGAGGAAGGGGAGAAGATAGCAGGGACCAGGGCAGAGCAGTTTAGACTGTGTTCTTTGTGCAGCCAAGAAAGTGTAGGTTATAGAAATGTTATGGGCCCTTGACATTTGAGCCAGTCTTCTGTCTCAGTCCTAATTAAAAGGCATTTTTAGGAAGAACTTTAATGCAGGACCAGTTCCTATGTTGATATGTAAGCCTGTTATGCTCCATTCTGGGGAAGCTAGTTTAGAGAAATTTAATTTGACCTGAATGCGGCTGTGTGCTACCTAGTCAGGAAGATGTTGTGAGGTGAAAAATAGAGTAGCATCCATCAATCTTATGTGCCTGGATACTTTTGTAATGTTTCATGGTAGAACCTCTTAATTTTATTTAAAAAAACCCCTTTTCTGAGTCAGACAGCACTTACCTAATCAACAGGGTATTAAAACTTACCAGGTACCTTCCTTCCTTCAGAACAGCCTCAGGGCTGGGAGACGGCAGCCACACCCCACAGCTGCTGGGATCCAGCTGGGTCGCAGCACCAGGAGGTGTGCCGCTGGGACCCAGCGTCTGCAGCTGTGGGACTCTGTGAAGCCGTGCTACCACGACCCAGAGTCAGCAGCTGGTGGGGCTGAAAGTCCCCTCTGTTGTGGGACTCCTGCCCCTGGCTGGGCATGGTGCACCCCTGCTGCTGGGAGACCCGCAGGGGAGACCCTGCTAGATGTACAAATTAAAGCTTGCTAGTGACCAGCTATACAGTTAATACACATTTTCAAGGTCTAACTTTGTAGTTGATTGGAGCTTTTTATGGCGAGGTAGGTACTTTGCACATGTAGCTGGTCTCCCAGTAATTGTGCAATTAACTAGGTAGTTGCACACTTCCTGTTATGTGTAGAAGGAGCCTGAGTGTCTGAGTTGCAGGTGCAGCCTATACTAGTCTCAACACTTCTCAGTGTAGCCAACATTGATTTAGCTCCACAGGGTTTAGAAATTTTGAGAGCTTTTAGATGGCCTACCAGTGTTTTTAACAGGGTTGATTAGATGAGGTTAAATGGAACTGTATGAATGCTTAAAACCAATGACAGCAGTCAGCAGCCCGTTTATTTGGGAACGCCTAATCCAGTAGCATTAGTAATGTTTTGTTTAGCAATGTAGGAAAAAGTTCAGTGATTGAGGAATTCCTGTGCGTACCTTTTGAAGCACCCTGGGATCTTTGAGTGAAAGATGCCATGGAAATTAGGGGGCTGGCTTAGATCACTTCTTGAGGTCCCTTCCAACCCTAGTATTTTATGATTCTGTGACATATAAAATGGATTTGATGAAATTCATAACAGTAAATAAACTCATTTTATTTAAACCAAGAAGGGAAGGACCTCTTCAAATTTAAAAGTATCAGTTTGAAGTGTAGTTTGTAACAAACGTTTGGAAAAGCATGCTTTCTCCCTTGCCTCTGGTTTTTGCCTGAGGCACTTAAAGTTCATCAGTAATTCAGCATTTTAAATTAGGTAAGTTTAAATATAGCTTACTCTCTAATATAGACACACCTAACTCAGTCCACTTTGAACTGGGTGTAGTTATATTGCCACAAGTTTTCTAAAACATGAGACCTAAAATGCTTGCCCTGCTTTTGTTATCTGTGTAGCATTACTTGTGGTTATAAAGAAAACAAGTGGATGAATTCTCAGTACAGCTCTCCAATGTTTTTTTTTATTTAACTAGAGAATGAAGTTTGAGGCTTGTCAAATCACCTGGGCTAGGGACAGACATTCAAAAAGCCAGAGCCTGAATTGATTCAACCTTTTCAGGTTAGTCTAACCTGCCTAAGTTGAACTGGTTTGTAACTGGACAGACATTCTCTCTGGACTGAGGAGCTGTGAACACATGCCTGCAGTTGCTCAGGCCAGGATCTGGGGGGCATTACAGCATGCCCTGGATGCAGGAGAGTGTGCTGCGGGAGTGTGGCCAGTCCAGGTTGAACTGGCCAGAGAGGGGTTTAATTCCCCCGCCCCTGCCGCAGCCACTACTTGGTCTGCACTCGAGGCAGCGTCCAATGGAATAAACCCCCTCCTGCTGGGGGAGGGCTGACCCCAAGTGCAGACCAAATAGCAGCTGTGGCCGGGTCGGGCAGATCCACCTGAGGTGTCCTGGGGGCAGAGAGGGGAATAACCTCACTCCCTGCCCTTCCCTCCTCCCCCGCCCCCTCTGGCCCTGCTGGCAGCGTCTGGCTGTGCTCCCGCCCCTCCCCGGCCACTGGAACGGTAAGGGGCAAGTGACCGTGATGGGCAGCCGCCCCTGTCACGGTTCCCCCCAAGCACAAGCCCCTTCCTGGCAGAGAGCCACACTGCGGTCGAGGGAAGTTGCAGCAGAGTGCGATGGTGCTGGGTGGGCTGGGAGGGCTCTGGCCCTCTCCAGACCCTGGTGCTGCCACGTGCAGCCCGCTGCAGCTCTGCCAGCCCCATGGTGCAGCACCTCTGCTGGGAAGGGGCTCATGCTCCCTGACATTATGACAGGGGCTGTTGCCCCCATCAAAGGCCCAGCCCTCTCCCACTGCAGTGGCAGGGCAGGGGCATGGCCAGATGCCGGCTGGCAGGGCCCTTTGGGGGGCTGCACATTATTCCCCCTCCCTCTGGCATCCAGTGGAGGGACAGCAGGGGCTTATTCCACTGCAGGGAGTATGCGCGGCGGTGACGGCAGGCAGACCTGGCTTCTGGTGGCGGTAGAGGGGAGACTAACCCTATTCCCTGCCCCCTCTGCCTCAGGGGCTATGGTGCCCTGAAATGTTTATGTGCGTTGAATGTCTGTTCTGTTACAGGTTTAAACCAGTTTCTGATCACTTAAATCAGTTTATGTGTAATGTCTGTCCTTATCCCTGATGGCTTTAAAGTTAGCATTACAGTTGTTTTTCCCCATTTATAAGGTTATCAGTAATTCAGGAAATTCAGTAACTAATATCCATGTGGCATTGGGGTGGTGCTATTCCAATACTGACGTTTTACTCATTTTCATAAGGCCTAACCCAACCATTACTAATTTAAGAGCAATCAGTGGGTGTTGAATTGGGACCATACTGAGTAGGTGTCAAATAGCACTTGACTTGCTCACCCGAGCAGTCTCCCTGGAATCACTGTGACAAATGAATCTTGCTTGACTTCTGCTCTGTTTCTAAGCCCCCCTCCCCACTTTGTTTCTGTTTTTCGCTATTAATTTTATTAAAATCCCAAACTTCAGAATTGTGGGTATTGAAGTGGTTATTTTTAAACCAATGACTTCTTCCTCTACATACTGTTTTTCTCATCTCCATAATAGACTTGTAAATATGTACCTTATCCTTTTGAGTATTTTGGGATAATTATTAAAGGACTAAATAATAACTATCACCATCCATTAGCAGGTCACACAGTACTTTACTGCAATGATAGCAATGAGTATGTAGGCAGAGAAGCTGAAGTACAGGGTTGCAACTTGCCCAAAGTCACAAGGAAAACCCAGACCTGTGGCTTTTGAGACTTTTGTTTTAGTCACTGGTGCTGCTTCCTCTTAGTCTTTTATTTGGTGTCCTTATCTCTCATTAGTATTTGAAAAACCTGCCAGTGAGGCTCTGAACCTGACTATTTGGCAACTCCAAGCCACACCCCTACTGAGCATTTGCTTTTCTCAGTTGGAGCATAGTTGTGTGCTAGTAATTCAAGGTGAAGGTGGAGCAGGCTCCTTTATAGCGAGAAGCAGCCAGTCAAATTCAGGTGATTTTTAGACTTGGTGATTTTTAGCTCTTGCTCCTTTTTTATGTAGAGCGTGTTATGTTTCCTATATTCAATGAACTGTGGCTTAGCCGGATGTCACCCCGAATGCTGCCACTCCTGGCAGCTGTGCTTTTCCAGAAGAAAAAGAGGAAGGACACTGGACTGTATCACTGGAGGGTAAGGTAAACTTTAGCATTTCTTTTACTTTAAGCTTCTCTACGCACTGACTAAGAAGCACTACGGCCACCCTAAGAATCCTAAGAAGCATCTCTAAAATGCAACTCGGTGTTCTTGTATATACATAGCATCATCCTTGTGTCTTTAAGATGATAACACCACCCCCTCAACATACCCCCCCCCCCCAACCCCCCCCCCCCCCCCGCAAAAAAAAAAACAACAAACCACCCCAAACCTGCTTTATAATCTCTAGAAAGAGCTCAAGAAAAGTGAGCCTGGATAATGACAGGGGTGATGCCAGTGGCTAGGTTTACTGACCATTTTTAAATTCCAGGCTCTTGCTTTTTTAAATCAAAGACTGTTTGGAAATTTGCAATGACATTTTTAAATAGTGCTTGGTGATGACTTGCTTTTGAAAATCCCACCTAAGTCTGTGTTGGCTGACCAGAACAATGCTGCAACTTTCTCCCAGTAGGCTCTGGGTTTGAATCGGGTTAATTTTTCTTACTTTCTAGGCCAACAGGAACTAATAATCTAAATTAGACCAAGTATGATAAGGCTTCACCTGATTAAATCCTCACCTGATCTGCAATTGGGTTCTTTTACAGTGGTGCCTACTAAGGAAGGTGAAAGGCAAGGCTTATAGTAAAATATAATTTGTTGAATTAGTCTCTTGCCTATGAAAGCTGAGGTAGTGCGGGCACTAAAGGGCATGGTTGACAGTTAGCTGTCATGTTTTTAGAGGCTCACTGATTTGATCAAATAGCTTCCAAAGAAACTTTATCTTAAAATGAAATGCTGTTAAGAATAAACAGCTATGGAGACTCTGCCCTTTGGACTTTGTCCGCGGCTTCAACAAACACTAATATTCCTGGTTTCCTGAGGTTCAGACCTACTAAATTTAACTTTCAGGCTCAGTCAAATCCAGCTAACTGCAACTGAGCAAACCTGACAGCTTTTTCAGTGCTGTTGAACTGCTTAGCTTTTCACTCAGCCTGCAAGATCTGTCATGGGCATGTGCTGCATGTTTTGTTATGAAACTCCATCTCCAAAAAAACGGTGTTTACCCAGAGATGGATTTAAAGAATGAAAGATTTTCAGGACCCAAAATTTCCTCAAGTGTGTGTGTGTGTGTGTGTGTGTGTGTGTGTGTGTGTGTGTGTGTGTGTGTGTGTGTGTGTGTGAAGGGAATCCTCTGTGCCCTTATGACAACGATTCTCAACTGGGGTGGCCATGATAAACACCCACACATGATTTACAAGCTAAACTCAGAGATTTCAAACAGGAATCAGCAGTGTCAAAAACAGAAAGACCACACCAGGTCAGAATGAGTTATTTGTGAATGAAAGAATTGCTCTATAATTTTTTTCCATAGTAAAAAATGTGTGAAATAAGTTTTTGAAATGTGTTGCCATTCAATTCAGGGAGGTTAAGAAAAAGGGGGGTGCCTTTATATTAAACAGTTTGAGAACCCTTTTTGCTTTGTGCAGGTCCCTGCTCTGATCCCACGTATACTAAGTAGAGAGAGGAATTGTGGGCATATACTGCAAAAAGGCCACTAGATCTGCAGTGGTGGTAAATCACTGGTTGGGATGCAATCCTTGACTGTCCATGATTTCCAGCCTTAGTCTGGGTGCAGAGGTACAGTCATTCTTTGCTTTCGGGATGTGGTGTGTTTGCACGTTCCATACAGGGTGCTGTGTGGTCTTCTCTACAAGATCTTTTACTTCATGAAAGAGTGAATTTCACCCTCTGTGCACTATCCCCATCTTTGAGGAAAGTACCTGCAAATTCAGTTCCAAGACCTGTCAGTCACTTGCACCTGTTGCACAAGGACCCGTATGGATCAGCTGCTCTATGTGCAGTCCTATGTTCTTACCATACTTGCCACCCTGTGGGGCACAGGCTGTGCCTACCAGATGTCGTCACACTCCCCTTGCAGCCTCACTCTGCAAACGCCCCTTGTAATGTACTATGACACTGCTTTGCCTCAGATGAAGTCTAACTAGAATAGTCTCAGGAAAATTCTTGTTTATTTGAAAGCATGGGACTAGAAATGGACTGAGATCTCTCTGCTCCACTGCAGTCTTTAATATGACTTTTGTGGTCCTTGAACTGGAAAGTGTTAGCTAAGTGATGATAGTTGAGAAATATCCTTTCTCTCAGACAATGGGGAAGGATCAACATTGTTTTCATTGCAACTTATGGTTAAATATATAGTAACAACAACTTCCAGGGTGGGGTGAAAGTTATATGGGTTCTGCCATCAAGGTATGGTGTTAGTGCTTCTTGTGGTGGCATTGTGTGACCTCCTTCTTGTCAACACAATGGAACACAAATGGGAAATGTCCGGTCACCGGTGAATGGCAGGCACTTCTGCAAAAAAATCTTCATTCTATTTAATAGCTGACAGGGCAGCAGCAATTTTACACCAGAAAGGTGGAGAACATAACCTTCTTTGAAGCCTTATATCTCCTTCCTTAAACTTAGATCAAATATTTGGTCTGTTACAGAGATGGGGAGAGGTCTCACAGGCTGGGTTTACATGTATAACTTTTGGGTTATAAACTAGTAGGAAAAGCTTCAAAGAAAAGGTTTGACCTTTGGGTGGAAGGGATGAGATCTGAGTGTGGCATGCTGTGTATGTGCGTGTATTTTGCACCAAGAAAACTTCATAGGATTGCAAAGAGAAACATTTAACCTACATCTCCCCGCAAGTTAAGGATGTCTATACAACCTTAATTTGGCCCCTTCATGTGCACACAGACTTTAATAAGCAGCTATTCAATATTTTGTTTCCTCCTACTTTATACAATATGTAGTCCCGGTCTTTATTTACTATGCACTGTTTTTCTATGATTCATCACTATAACATCCTAGTGTTTCACATGCGCTGAGTGATTTATCTTTACAGCAATCTTGGGAGATGAGGAGGGTAGCAGTATTCCCATTTTACAGAGAGGCAACTGAGGTATAAAGATTAATATCAAAAGTGTCCATTAATATCAGATGGCATGTAGGCACTTTTTTCCATAGTACTTGATACATTCTATGTACATTTGAGCACATGTGCATATATATTATATGTAGTACTTGTATATTCAAAGCACAGCTTCCCTTGACTTCACGTGATGTAATTAGAACTTTTTCAAATTGGACCCCAGGATTTCATGTTGAGTACCCAGAAAACGACAGATATGCATAACTGGCAACTGCCTTTGGAAAGTTTGGATTGAACCAGTGGCTTGCCTTGCAGAGTGGCAGAGACCATGATTGAATCCTATTCTCTGGGGCAGCATTTGACTGCATTGCATCACAACACTATACTTTACCTTCATGCCAGCCCCATGCCTCATTCAATGCCTATGTCAATTCAAAGCTCAATACAAGTGAGGCAAGGGCTTTTACCAGCTTGAGCCCTGTGCTTAAACATGCATAGTGCAGATACATTCCCAGCTGATATACCAGACTCCAAAGGTTTTTATTGAGCACTTTTGGGGGGGGAATCACAGTTTGCAAGGCATATACATTTTCCATTGTTGGGCAGGCTTTCAGAGGAACAGCAAGAAGCTGTTCCTTGGCATTTGGGCAATGCTTAACCAAATTTCAAGTTCCCCTTTCAAAGCATGCATGTGCTAGAATTTCTCAACATGAAATATGTAAGGATCATTTTCATGGATAAAACCATGTGCTTTTCTTTAGTTCTTTTTTTTTTTTTTTCTTTTCATCCTCAGCCTCCCTCCAATGGAGTGCTCTGCTTTTGCTCTTTTATGGAAAAGAAAACCTATTTCAGGTAGCTCATAGTTCAAGAGGGAGACTCAGTTATCATTGTGTGAGCTGATGGTTCTATTTTGTTTTGCCAGCTTGATATTAACATGCTGCTGGAAGGTGATTGGGGCTGAATGTAACAGTCTGCTTGTCTCTTTCAGCGTGAAAAGCACCCGTACTACAATCTCACAGTAAAAATCCTCCGAGCCAGAAATATCAAGGGTACAGATCTGTGTAAGTACCTGACCAAATATTATGCAGATTAAAGTTGTATGCAGCACAAAAGACAGAACAGTGAGCATTCCCTCTGGTTTATAACTCTGCAGTCCTACTGCTCACTTGCCTTTCAGTGGATATTTACACATAACTTTTCATTTTAACCTTTCCATGTGCATTTTAAGGTTTGAAAGTAGACCAGGGTTGAAATTAGCCTTACTACCTATAAGAATGAGATGCAATTCTTTGAGACCTCTTATTTCTTTGCTCCCTCTACATACCCTACACTGGCCTTGTGTTGGCTCTTTCATGCAGTCCCACCACTGTGGCTATGGATAAGTCTCCTTTGGCTCCTGCAGCTTGAATAGCCTTCCTGCATCTGTCCATACTGTATTTTATATTATATTAAATTAATTAATCCCATGGTTTATGGCTTCTGTTGGTCACTTGTAGGGGACCAGGAAGGATTTTTTTTCTCCCCCTGGATGTGTAACTTGGCTTTTGTGCATTAATTTTTCTCCTTCCCTTTAAGCATTAGATGCTTGCTACTGCTAGAGACAAGGAGACTGGTCAGGGTATGCTGGTGCTCCTGGGGATACTGAGGCACCTCTGAAGTACTTACCTGGTTGGTTGAACACGCTTTAGTTAAAGTGCCCCTGCCACCTTTTTGAAGAATGGGATGCTGAATACATGAGACATTGCAGGTGTTTTAATTAGAGAGGCTCCTGAGAGTCACTCCAATTAAAGTGCCCCCCCCCGGCATGTGTATAGGTGCCCTAAAATTCTCTTGGCTGTCGTTGTCAGCTTTCTAATGAGTCAGGTTCTGCTAGGATCAAAACCCAATCTCTTGCTGCATCCCAAACCAGGGGAATTTAAATGCTGTGTGTCTATATAGCTGCTGAACTGCTGCTTTGAAATATGGCTGGGATCTCAAGGCTCATCTATTCTAACTCCTGGTTGGGAACAAAATGTGCTGTTCCAGAACCATCCCAGACTCTTATTGGAAACCTCCAGTGAAAGAGATTATTCAGGCAGCCCATTCCACTGCCATCCTGTTCTTAAGTTTCACAATAACACAGTCTCTAAAGAAATCTTTATTATGGCTCTGTCCAGTTAGATTAGATTAGTGATCCAAAAATGATTTTGGGGATGGAAATGCGAGTTGTTTAACTTTCATTCTTGACCCCAGCAGGGACTTAGCTGGAAGATATTCTGGCTGGGAAGAGAGAGTTTTATTCTCTTGGACAGATTTGGTGATTTGTGGGGATGGGGAAAGGTAAATCTTTTGCAATTTCTATGGAAGGTTGCAGCTATCTGAGAAAGCTGTGCCATGGGGAGTGAACCATGGGATGAAGCCAGCTGGCAGTTGCCTAAGACTGGATTATGTAGGGATTCTAAAATAATTTGTTGCTTATACTGGTTTTTCTCTATCGTATTCTGCTTTCAGAGTTTTTTGTAAAAACTAGGTCCCTGTGTCTTCATATCTGGTAAGATAGATTTAATATGGATTGTCAGGGTATTTTAACTTTCCTCTGTGACTTACTGTAGTTCCACTGTGTGTAATTCCTTGACCTTAATGGCAGAATTGAGTCTGTTCTCTCATACACAATAAGCTTGGATCTAGGTGGTAGTATTATTTTCTTTGTGACAGGTTCAGTCTTTATGGCCCATGTTTGGGAGAGGAGATAATTGGTATATATTACCCATTATGAGTGTTGGTTGTAGTGTCTTCATATCATGTAGCTCCTATTGAACATTTTTTTTAGTTCTGGTATTATACTGATGGGGCCTGAGCACCACTGCATATACAAATGTGTGTTAAGCATGACATAAATTGGTTTGGAGTGGGGTCAATCTTTTTGGCATCCTGCCACAAATTAGCTCTGCACCCTCTCCAAGTACCACTGTCACCTCCTTTCTCTTCCTAATCAGCTGCTCTGATTTCTATTCACTGCCCTGTGTCCCTACCCCATCTGCTGCTGTTTTTTGCTCCCTGACTTATCTGATACTGTGTTGCCTGTCCACTTCCCATCTGTCACATGCCACACAGGCTGCCTGTGCCACTTGTGACACACAAGCCACAGGTTGACTGTCCCTGATATATTTAAAAAAACGTGGGACTTGTGTAGCTTTAATGGCTAAACAGTGGTGCAGTTGCTTCAGAAGGATAAGCTTTTTTTGGGATTGATGCTAGAATGATGTTGAATGTCTTGCATTTGAAAGCTTGCTAATTTTATCCCAATAAAATATATCAATATCCTGAATAAAATAAATTAATCTGATACGAGTAAAAGATTTCGCCCACAAAAGTCCTTGTGTTGCAAATTTTTTTGGAGCACTTGTCCTTCTCCGAGCAGTGTTCCTTTGTGTGAAGGTCCTTTGTACAGGGATATGTCTGAAAAGTAAATTATTTATAGAAAAAAAACAGGTTTGCTGCTGTTTAAGATATTTGCATCTTAAAAGCTCTCTCTCTTCCAATCCAGTTTTCTTCTTAATGTTGCACATGTAAAGGTATGGAGAACAGTGAGCTGCTGTGGAAAAATGCATTTGATTACATTAGTTCTGATGCTGGTTTTCTGCTCCCTTTACTCCAGTATCCAAGGCAGACTGCTATGTGGAACTGAAACTACCAGCTGCATCTCCAGTCACTTCTCAGACTCAGGTTGTTGACAACTCCAGTGATCCAGAGTGGAATGAAACCTTCCAATATAGAATCCACAGTGCTGTCAAGGTAAGGAGAGCCATTTGATATGGAGCAAGTCAGATTACTTGGTGCTATGAAAGATAAAGGACTTTTATTACCAGAAAAGGGGGCCATTGCATGTAATGTCTCACATGAATCAGTAGGCACCTTTGACACTCAGTACCCATTTTATTCCGCATCACCAGCTAGAGCCACCTCAAGAGATGATTCTTCAATGCTCAAAATTTTGAAAAGCACAGCTAAGAAGGTATGTTCCTCACCCACCAACCTGATGTAATTTAGGGAAAAGAGCAAGCTAGGATGCTGCTTGATTCTGACACAATCGTTTCAGGAAATTCCTTAACAAACTCAGGTTAACTTTTGTGGGATATACACTCTCTCACCCTAGGGCTATTGTCGTCTCATGGCTGTACTTGCCCAAACATCCCAGTGATTCAGGTAATATAACAGGTCAAGTGAGAATGCTATGCCAGAATATATCTTGAGTTCAGGCTAGTTTTCTTGAAACTGATATTGCTCAGACCTTTAATAGGCAATTGGACTTTGTCTTTTGACTTCTTTTACCTGCTGTTTATCAGCTAAGCACCTTTCAATTAGTATCCTCTGGGCTTGCCACTGTCCCGTGGCACTGATGATCAGGAAATGATTGGTTGCTCTACCTGTTTAGTTATTCTGGATTACTGGTACGGGGAGGAAGTTGCTGTTCCTTTCTCAGGAAAACCAGCACTGAGCTAACTTGTTTGGAATGCCTTCTGCTAAGTCATGTGAGCGATGCATAGAAATCATTGTGAATCCCTTTAGGGTAGAAGGCCAGGAGCAGAAATCCTTCTCCCTGACACACACACTTCTGTCTGACTACTTCTGGCTGACCACAGCTTAACTACAAATAGGAGAAGGTAAAATTGTTGGGAAGGACTTACGTTTTTTCAGGAAATTTTACCATCTTTTAAAAGGAGTGTTATAAACTGTAGATAGTAAAGCAAATACCAGTAAAGAGGAATCAGGACTGCTTTGATCCATCAATGTGCTTCTTAGATATAAGGCGTGTTAATTACCACTTGTTTAGATATATTTGTGGCTGCCTTGCTTGCTGTTTCTCTGTTCATCCCTTGCGTTATGTTTTGTTTTAGAACATCCTGGAGTTGACCCTTTTTGACAAAGATGTTCTGATCAGCGATGAGCTTACTTCTGTTGTCTTTGATGTGGGCGGTATAAAGCCAGGCCAGCCTTTAAAGCGTGTTTTCAAGCTAAACCCAGAGGTTAGTCCCACTCACCCTGTCACCAGTTACTTTCTAAATCTGTTAAGGAATCTGTTAAGGAAAGGATGTTAGAATGGAGGTAGGGGTTCCAGTGCTGTTGAGTCAGAAGCTACATTTGTTTCCTGACTTGCAGTTCATAGTCCATTATCTAAGTGCTCTCTGGGTGCTCTGCTATAAAAGGAAAATTGGTCCAAGTCTACAGAAGGTTATGAAAGGCATTAATGAGTTCAGAGTATGACCTGCTGAAGAAATAAATCTAAACAAATGCAGGTGTCAGGTAGAAACTGTAATCAAATTATTATCACATAGTTATGGAGGTTCAAAAGGGTTTGGGTTCACAGCAAAGTGACACATCTCTGAGAATAATGCTCATTGTTCACTTCTGTGCACTTTCACTACTAAGAACTTTCAAGTTTAAAGCACTGTTTGATCCCGAACTGTAATGAAACAATGTTAGTGTCACCTGTAGCCCCCCCCTCCCCCCCCCGCCTGCTTACTGTCAGACCCTGCTCTCTGTGAGCACATGGAAGTTGTGCGGGCCGGGAGCGGTCCAAGGCTTTCGGGGGCGCGTGGCGGGCTGTGGCCAGCAGCCCTGGCACGTGGGCCGGGGAATTCGGCACGGCGGACTAGAATTAGGCACGGACACATAGCGGTTTTATTTTACTTACACTGTAGATGGTCGCGGTGCAGGCAGGAAAACTTGCTTGCGTTGCAGTTACAAACGAAAAGAAAACTCGCATGAACAAGACCCGTAGAAAACTCGAGCCTCTTAAACCCGGACAGAGCTCTGGATACCACGATGAGAGTCCAAAAGGTGACTCTCCACGAAAGTGCGCAGGGAAGGGTACGTCGAGGGATCAGGTGGCGATGGGGAGAGGCTAGAGGTTGATCAGGCCCCTGTATCCTTCTTAAGGCACACGCTGGGTTCGTTAAGCTCCACAGCGTGCTTAGAGTTCTTCACGAGATGTGAAGTCCTCCTTCTCCTCCTCCACAAGATGGTTGTGGAGTCCTCCAACTTGGGCAGAAACTGCTCTAGCCTCTTATACGGCTAGCAAGCCAATCACTAGCTGCCACGTGGGAATAATTTAGAAACAGCCAATAGTGGGACACAAATTTACATACGGGTGGTGGGAACTCCTTTGCACCGGGGTTTTCTCTATGCAACTGAGAATTGCACCGTGCAAAGAAAGCTCCTCGTGGCGGGAAATAATTCTGCAGTGCCAAAGCACAC